GNACGATCAGAGTTTTTCCATGGTTGAAACCGGTGTAGTAGTCGCGCTTCTCCTTTTCGGCTCGGCGAAGGGCAGCGCCCACCTTGATGCAGGCTTGCGAGGTGGTCGGGGGTTGGGCTGTGCGCACAGTCACGTCAATGCCCAGGTCGGGTAGAGCTGGGCCCAGAGCACCGCCGGGAAAGGGGTTGCGGCAGTGCAGGTCGATGCGGCAGCTCTGACCGTTGGCGTTGTAGCCAGACTTTTCCACCCAGACATGGGAGAGGGTGGCGTACCTGAGCAGGCGGCCCATCTCGTCGCGAAGGGCGTTGTGTCGCTTGATGGGACGGCAGGTCAGCAGGTGCTCGCGGGTTAGTCGCGGCTGAGGTGTCTTGCTGCTGCAAAGCGGGCACTTGTCCGTCGGCTTGACGTTGATGAGTTCATGGAGGCCAAAACCCATCATGGACACGACCGCAATGGCAAAGGTCGTGTCGCTCAAGCGACGCAACTTGTCTCGACCCCGCATGGTCAAGACAGTGCTGACGCCCCACTCGCGTGAGGCCAGATATGCCTGCTGCAGGTCCAGCGCGCACTTGGCCATCAGGTCGTCAAGTGCCGCCTTGGAGCGGAGGGCAATGATCTCAGCTGGTCGCTGGGTCGCCGCGTCCTTGACCGTGGCAATCTGGAAGCCAGCTCGCTGCACGTGGGCCTCAAAGTCGTCAGCCCTCGATGCATCCTCCAAGAGTCGATCGTAGACCCGAGGGTAGCGAGTGGCCAGCTTGGCCATGTTGCAGACATAAGCCACCGGACCGCGCTCAACCAAGTCGTGCAGGCCAAAGCCCCCGGTGTTGGCCCGCGTGAAGATGCGAGCCTCCAGGAGCTGTTCCAGCGTAACGTCATGACCTTCAGCTCCGGCTGGTGCAGACAGGTTTACCTTGGCAAAAAAGGCTTTGACAAAGGTGTCCTTGCAAGCACGGTTCAAGAGCTCGGACAAGCCCGACGTCAGACTTGGGGGCAGCGTGTAGAGGTGGTTGATGAGGCTAGGCACGTACTGCATGGCCGTGAGGAGGGCCTGAAGCGAGACACCGGTCGTCAGCATGTCATTGAGCTTGCCAGAGATGTGCTTTGCCTTGTCGTTCAGCTGCTTCTTCATCCACTCGCGACGGCCAATCGGCGTTCCCAAGACCGACATGCCCGTGTTGGCCGTGTCGCGCACGGCATCTGGCAATACAGACTTGATAGCAGTGATGGAAGCGGGATGGTGGCGAGGCATGTAGAAGCGGCTCTTACTGGGCTGCAGATGGAGGCCAGCAGACTCTGCACGAGCCTTGACAATCTCCACGTCGGCCGCCACGTCCTCCGCGGGACCCATCAGTACAATGTCGTCGAGGTATTTGATGACCTTGCAGCGGTAGTCAGTGGTGGCGTCGAGGAGGCCGAGGACCTCACAGGAGTACAGGGCAAAGAAGAAGGGCGATAGCTCGTTGCCCTGCACAATGCCTTGGCCAACATCAATGTCAATCACCTTGAAGAACTTGTCGACAATGCAGTGGGTAGTGGGTCGAGCATAGTGTCGTTCAAAGGCGCGCAAGAGGCCTGGGACCTTGTCGGCCACAATCTCGTGCAGGCGTGCTCGGTCGGTGTAGTTGAAGGCACTCTTGAAATCGAGGGAGAGCATGGTCCAGCCCGGGGTAGACTCACAGGCTTGAAGCTCACCAAAGGCCATGCCAACCGCAGCTGAAATGCCGTCCTTGACTCCGACGGCCAGCCTTGACTCCGACGGCCAGCTCTGGACTGGCCTGTAGCAAGTGGGCAATATGGGGCTGCTGTTGCTCGAGCAGAGCGCGGTTGACAACCTTGTTGAAGATGGAATCCGTGCCCACGGGTCGAAACTTGCCATTGGCCTTCTCCAGGATAGTGTAGTTGATGGAGCAAAGGGCATGTCGAATCGACTCGGGCACGGTGTTGTTGGCAATGTGGTGAAAGATCTTGTTCAAGGCAACCTGAGGACCTCCAGTGGCGGTGGTGGGGCCCTGAGGCGCGCCTCCATCAGAAGGAGCAGTCGGGTCGCTGGTAGAACCCTGGCGTGGGCCCAAGACTTGACTGAAGTGCTCCTTGATGCGGTAGATGGAGGCAAGAAGCTCACCAGACCAACCATAGGGGTCGGTGACACCCTTGGTGGCCGCCAACGCCTTGGGGAGCTCACCTTTGGTGAAGGACACGGTTGGGGAGCTCGCAGCCGTGGCTGGTGCCAGTGTAGACGTGGAGGCAGGGGTCGAAGCAATGTACGGGGTCAGCCCGGGCGGTACCAAGAGGTCGCGCACGGCCTGAACCTCAGAATTACCAATCACGGCACGAGCCTTGTCGGCATCAAATGCTTTGGCAATCTGACCTCGGTTCAGACGGTTCGTGACGTGGTTTGCCCAGGCTTCGTCCGCCAGGTCCGGGTCGCGGACGAGTGACCTGAGGCTCTGGTCGACTGCGTCGTTCGGGTGGGCGCCCGCGCCGGCGTTCAGCTGTCCTCGACGGCTCTGCTTGCGTGCGACTGCCTTGCGCATGGTGTCCACGACCCGACCTAGTTGCCCCGTCACAAGCCAACGGAGACGATCGTGAAACATATTGCGCAGGTCAATCGTAGACAGTGCGGTCGAGGGAGCAGACAACAACATGCTAGGCAAGGCCAAAATCAAAGCCCAGCACATCTCTCGCTCTTCAGCGGTATAGTCCGAGTGAACGGCAGACCAATACAGCTGGCTCAGGGTGGCAGCCATCAGCTTGGTCTCGGTGGCGTTGGATGGGTAGCGGCTGCGCTGCATCAGTGGATGCCGGGCGAGCTTGAGCAGCTCGCAGACACTGATGCGAGACCCTACACACTGTTGGGGCCAAGCGCCACGCATAATCTCAAGCAGGTCGTGTCCAGCCGCATGAAACAACGCCTCGGTCGCTCGCTTCAGATTGGCACCACATCGGGAGCGGTGTTGACTGATACCAGCAGCTTCGAAGAAGAGGTGACACTTGTTGCACTGGGCGACCAATTTGGCCTCCATCACCTGCTTGACCAGAACAGTGGCTTGCTCGTCGTAGGGGTGCTCGCGTAGTACATGATTGACCCAGGCTTTGCGGTCAAGGCGGGGCCCCTTGCATTTGCAAAGCCCAAATGGGCAGGCGAGGAGTTGCCTGTGGCCAGATGTCTTCAGCAGGACCTTGCGCTGGGCATCCAGCACGTTGGCAGCGATGGGCGGAGCAGGATCGCTGAGAAGAACATCTTGCTCACTCTCACTGTGTTCGCCCGCTGTATCGTGTGTTTCACTCTCACTGACTTCGCCAAGTGGGGCTGAGTTTGCATGCTCACTGTGTTCGACAGGATGTGAAATGGCAGCGGGCAAAATGGCAGTGGCAGGGGGT